CCTCATAAAGTAACGTAATCATGGGGGCCATCTTAGAATTCTGCTTACCACACTTACTTCATATACATATTCACTGTTATATAGATTCAGTTTTTAGGTCGAATAACATGGCAGAGCATTTGGAACATTAAATGTGAATCACCATCGTGAATTATATTTAGGTTAAATTAGTATTATTGTGAATGTGATGCAAAGGTTTTGTGGTACTGAAAAATACATTTGTTTTTTAAATAAGTCTGTAAATGTGTCAGATAAAAGTACATTTAAAAAGGGCCGGCCTGGTGGCGCAAGTGGTTAAGTGCATGCGCTCCACTTTGGTGGCCCAGGGTTCCCAGGTTTGGACCCTGGGCGTGCACCGATGCACCGCTTGTCAAGCTGTGCTGTGGCGGTGTCCCATATAAAATAGAGGAAGATGGGCACAGATGTTAGCCCAGGGCCAATCTTCCTCAGCAAAAAGAGGAGGATTGGCATCGGATGTTAGCCCAGCGCTAATTTTCTTCACACACAAAAAAAGACATTTTAGGGGCCAGCCCAGTGGTGTAGTGGTTAACTTTACACACTCCACTTCGGCACCCTGGGGTTTGCAGGTTCGGATCCCAGGCCTGGACCTACATACCTCTCATCAAGCCATGCTGTGGTGGCATCCCACATATAAAGTAGAGGAAGATGGGCACAGATGTTAGCCCAGGGCCAATCTTCCTCAGCAAAAAGAGGAGGATTGGCAACAGATGTTAGCTCAGGGCTACTCTTCCTCACCAAAAAAAAAAAAAAACAAAACAAAATTTAAAGAGCTGTCATAAATGCTCAGCATATTACCTAGAATTCCTTGATTCCATCAGATGACAATGAGTAGCACTATCTCCTCAGTGTATGCTGTTAATCATGGTCTTGGTCACACACTAATGACACAAACTCATAGACTTTAGAGCTAAAAGAGATCAGAGATCATCTTTCACCCTCCCCCCTCCTGTCTTTTTCATAAATGAACAGCCAGAAACTCAGAGAGAGAATATGATTCAGAGAAGGCCACAGAGCCAGCTAGTTAGTGGTAGAGACTGGCCTAGAATACATGTTTTCTGATTTCCTATCTGATAGTAATAATAATAACAGTATCATTAGTTGAAGATTTTCTATATATCAGGCACTATCCTAAGCACTTTAAATATATTGTTTTCCTTAATCCTCGCAAAAATCATATGAGGTAGGCATTATTATTATCATTGCCATTTCACAGTTTGAGAAAACTGAGTAACAGAGAGGGTAAAGGAACTTGCGCAGTGTCACCCAGCTTGTACATGGTAGAGTGGGGAATCAAAGAGAAGCAGTCTGACTCCACAGCCTGACCTCTTCACTGTGCTCTGCCCTTTCCACCCACCAGCTGCTGCTAACAGGGCCTGCTGTATGCAGTTGACAGCTAGTATAGACAGCTGCGCAATAGCACTGGTTATATTCTGACAACAGATCAGTGACTAGCAAAGAATTTGGAGTCAGGGAACTGTGTACACTCTGGTTCTGTCACTTTCTGTGTGGCTTCAGGGAACTGTGTAACCTGCGGGGTCCTTGGGTGTTGTATGCATAACATGGGGATTGTTAGAGTTGTTCTGAAGAGGATGCCTGTAAAAAGCAATCTGTAAACAAGAGGATTACATGCTCGTTGTATTGTTATTCTTTGACAAATGGTGGCTGGTTCTCATCACCCCATCACCCAAAATCACTTGAAAAGTGATTTTCAAGTCACTTTTGCTGTGATAGAATCAGACATTAAATGAAAAACAATAGATCTTTGACATTGCAAAGACTATGTCCTGAGACCTTTAGGAATCTCATTTTCTTTGAAAATCATATGTTTCCTGTACATGTCCTCATTCCACATATTCACATTTCACTGAAATTGTATGTCTCACTTGATGGTTATTTTTCACATGGGCATTCTTCACAGGAAGTGAACAGTAGAGCTGCATGGAAACACCAGGACTCAGCCATTGGCCTGTCTCCCTCACACCAGCCTAGCACCTTCCATGATTCCAGTTCACACCTGGACAAAATTTTATTACTTTTTGATGTGGCCATTTGGGGATTATTCTCATATAAAATCATAAATATTAAATTTATGAGTACCAAGTTCTACTCTTCATCCCCATCTTTTTTTTTTTTAACATTTTTATCCTGTTTGTTTTATGTAGTTGTGTGCTTTTTGCTATAAGATTTGAAAATAAGTTGCAGACAATATAACATTTCAGATCTAAATACTTCAACATGTTTCTCCTAATGATAAGGAAAAATTTTTTATAATACATGCCATTATCTACCTAGGAAAATTAACAATTTTCGTATCCCATCTAATATCCAGTCTATCTTCAAATTTTTCCTTCTTGTCCTAAAATTACTTTTAGAGTATTTTGCTTTTAGAATTTGTTTGTTTTTTCCCAGAAAGAAACCGGTCAGGGCCGGCTCCGTGGCTTAGCGGTTAAGTGCGTGCGCTCTGATGCTGGCGGCCTGGGTTCGGATCCCGGGAGCGCCCCGAGGCACCACTTCTCCGTCCAACGCGAGGCCGAGTCCCACGTACAGCAACTAGAAGGATGTGAACCTATGACATACAACTATCTACTGGGGCTTTGGGGGGAAAAAACTGAATAAATAAAATCTTTAAAAAAAAAAAAAAGAAAGAAACCGGTCAAAGTACACTCATAGTATTTAATAATGATTAAATTCCACATCTCTGGAATATTTTTTTAATCTGGGACAGTTCCCCCACCTTGTTAGTTTATTTGTTTGTTTTCATATTAACTTTTTTAAGAGACTAGACCAATTCTCTTGAGCAAAGTCCCAAGTTCTGGGTTTGTCTGAATTTTTTTTATTGTGTCATTTATCTCGTTACTCCATCCTCTGTATTTTTGAAAACTAGAAGTTGCTTCCAAAGGCCTGATTAAAAATAACGGGATATTTTTGTCCAGAACAACTTGATAGGTGATACTGTGCATTTTATATTGCGGGGTACATATGATTGCCCCACTATTAGTGCTACTAAGTTTGATCACTTGATTAAGATGGTGATCGCCAGGTCTCCCAGTGTTGAAGTACATGTTTTCTTTTAACAAGTAGAACCAATTTGTAGAATGATTTTTTCAATCATTTGAATATCCTTTTATCTAATGATGGAAGCATTCATTGATGTACCTTATTTAAATCATTTATTCCATTGGAGGTTGCAAATTGGTAATTTAAAAATTTTATCATTCCTTTTACATTCATTAAGTAACATTCCTCTGTGAAGAAGAGCTTTCCCTCACCATTGGGGGATGCTTTACATTGTCTTATAGTTCATATCAGTACAACATGTTTGTTATCTAAAATATTAGCCTTAGATTGTAGAACTGAGTTGTAGGTCAGTCATAACTTATACTTTACATATACTTTTTTAAAGAAATTTGATGTACATTGAAGTTGAAAGTGGAGAATAGATGAAATTTAAAGCAGTGTTTCAAAATGGTGAGCAAATATTTTAAGAGGCTTGGTGAAAGGGATTTCGACAAGTCACTGGCAATATCAGCAAATATTTATTGATCTAAAGTTAAATTATTGGGGCCGGCCTGGTGGCGAAAGCGGTTAAGTGCGCGTGCTCCCCTGCGGCGGCCCGGGGTTTGCAGGTTCGGATCCCAGGCACGTACCAACGCACCGCTTGTCAAGCCATGCTGTGGCGGCGCCCCATATAAAGTAGAGGAAGATGGGCACGGATATTAGCCCAGGGCCAGTCTTCCTCAGCAAAATTGAGGAGGATTGGCAGATGTTAGCACAGGGGCTGATCTCCTCACACAAAAAATTAATTAATTAATTATTTAAAATTTTAATTCCAGGCACTAAAAGAGCTTACCATATCCCCAAAAGCTAATAACATGCATGGTCAATGTATATAAATATTTAGGCCTACCAAGAAGTAAATTAATACAAATAGTTTGGGACTATCACCCTGTTGCTCCAGCTTTAGCAGTCTCTCAACTCCACATTCCAACATGTAAGGCCCTTTATATTTTGAGCTCAGTTTCTTATCTGACTCACTCCCACCATTACTCCTCCATATGTGTTGATTATTTGCACCATCCCTCAACTGCTCATGGTCATTCCTATCTTCACGCCTGTGCCTATGCTCCTTCCCTCGCCAAAAACACTCTCTTCTTGCCTCTTCTTGGGTCCCAATCTGCTGATTTTTCAAGCCCAGCTGAAATCCTACTGCCTCTCTGAAGCTCCTTCCTCCTTGACCTCTCTAGATAGCACTTCTGACTCCGTCACATTTGCAGTACTTGACTCAGTTTTCAGTTCTTCTAACTGACTTCTTTAAGTAAACCTCATATCCAAATTGTTGAAGATCCTGGACGTGACTATCCAGGATCAAAAATTAAAAAGCTCATTTCACATGGCATTGCTGGGTTTTTCATTCCCTCTGAGAATCTCTCTGAAAGTTACCAATAAATGTGAAACTATTATCAAACAGGGCTATCTCCTTTTTATAGTTTTCTTTGCCTTCTAATATCAATCACCCTACAAAAACAGGTTTTCATGTGAAAGTTAAGGCTAGAGTTGCAGATTACTCACCACCTGTTCTTTGGAAATAATGTGAAGGCCTAGTTCTTTCACTATGACAGAAAGAAAGAAAAAGAAAAAGACAGGCATAAATTAACCTTGCATTCAAATATTACAATGAAAACAAAGCTTATTTTATTTTCCTTCGGTTGAACCTTTTTGTTCCTTTTGTTACCAATTTGAACACTGTTTTAAATGGAAATAAAACAATGGTATTTTGTGCTTCTTGAAGATTTTTTAGAAAATTTTCATCCCACTCCACAAGACGTTGTTTGAAATACATTTTCTCTCTGTCTCCTTAATAAGAGCACTTTGTATCCATGCAGTTCTCTTCGTCTGAGGACCTCAAAGGCTGGGCTGATATTCTTTGTAAACAGATGGTGACGACAAAGCTATCACCCCTTTTGTTTTTGTCTGTGCAGAAGCGGGAGGTAAAAAGCTGCGGAGCACTGTCCAGAGAAGCACCGAAACAGGCCTGGCTGTGGAAATGAGGAACTGGATGACTCGACAGGCAAGCCGAGAATCTACGGATGGCAGCATGAACAGCTACAGCTCAGAAGGAAAGTGAGTGAGGCTGCTGGGATGGGTGGGTGTCTCTTCCGTGCCTTGCCGAGACCATCTTCTCTGTCTCTCTCTGCTTTCACAAAAGCTGACTCGCACTCGACAGCACCATTTTAATTTTCACTGGCTGATTTGCTGTGAAGAGAACTTTTGCTCGCCTGCCACTGAGCAATGTGTCATATCTGACTTTTTATATCAAGGAAAATAGGTTTGGGGATAAAATGTTTCACTTCAATGGCAAGATGCTAAAATGTGACTGTCACAATACATGCAAATAAAATAGTTTGCCCTAGCTAGAAATAATACATAAAAGCACAAAAATAACAAGCACTCATGCCACACCACATGAACAATGCTAATTTTTAAAATCTTTGCTCTAAGAGTTCTTACTAAAAAATATAGAATACTGATACATACTTAGTTCCATGCAGTGACAAACAGTTCAGATAAATGTGATGGCCAAAAAGAAATGCCGCAAAGAAAGTTGGTGAGCCTTTCCTTTTTGGAGTTATAACATAGCTTTCCCTTGAATCAACTGCATCTGAGATATCTTTAAAGTATTTGTAAAGATTGTATAGCCCTATCATCATCAACAAAATAACAGTAGTTAGCAACTGCAGACGGGTAGGTGAATGTGTAAAGGACATTAATAGAGGACACGGGGGTTTACTGACCTCGCTCTGTCATCACCATGGAAGCATCAGATGTTTAGACGACATTGTGTAGCCGGTTTACAGATGTGAGGCCATAGGAGCTGCTGGCAGAGTATTGATGGTATGCCCTAAAGATAATTTGTCTAGCACAATTGTATAAATACAAGAGGTGTATATGGTTTCCATACATTTATAAATCAGGTTATATGGGATACTTATGGAAACATTAACATGTTTGGATTAACTGAATATTTGGGGATTAAGTTTGAGGAAAGAAATAGATTTGATATTAATCAAGGAAGTCTTAAAAGAAATGGAGAATCAAGTGAAAAATGTGCATTAAGCACTTATCATTGCAAAGCACTATATTAGATACTGTTAGGGCTACAAAAATGTTTAAACTGTGGCCCCTGCACTCCAGATGTTTATAGTCTCACTGGAGAAATGAGATGAATACTCACAAATTCAGTCAATAAATATTCCCATACCTTCTAGTGTTCTTGGCAGTGTGCTATGAGTTGGGGATATAAGTCATAGAGCAGAGCCAAAATCAGTTGGTGGTTATGACCATGGGCTTTAGAAGCATGTAGGCTTAAGTTCTTATCTGCTTTTTGGTACTATAGAACCTTGGGCAAGTTATTTAATTGTTCTAAGCTTTGTTTTAATTAATTGATTAGCTTGACAAGCATTCATTGAGTGCTTACAATATTCCAGGCAGGGCTCTGGGTGCTGGAGATGTGTCAGCGAACAAAACAGAAACAAAGACAAAAAACCTATTCTCACCAAACTTACAGTCCAGTAGATAAACTAGACAATAAACACAAGAAATTGTTAGGGGGCTGGCCAAGTGGCATAGCGGTTAAGTTTGCGTGTTCCAGTTCAGCGGCCTGGGGTTCACCAGCTCAGATCCTGGGCGCAGACCTACTCACCGCTCTTCAAGCCATACTGAGGCAGCACCCCACATAGAAGAGCCACACTCTACAACTGTGATACACAACTGTGTACTGCGGCTTTGGGGAGAAAAAAGAAAAAGAGGAATGTTGGCAACAGATGTTAGCACAGGGCCAATCTTCCTCAAAAAAAAAATAGTTAAAATGTATAGACTAGAAGAATTAGTAAAATATATAGTAGATTAGGCAGTACAAGTGCTAGGGAGAAAAATAAAGGAAGAGAGAGGATAGAGGGTAAGGGTAGAGTTTTATGTAGGGTAGATAGGGAAAAGGACACATTTTGGGTAAAGATCTGAAGGGAGTTAGTGAGCATATGGATATGTGAGGGAAGAACATTCCAGGCTGAAGCGATGTGGAAGCCCTGAGGCAGGAGCTTGCCTGCATCAGCAGTGGGAAGGGCAGCACAGGAGTGGGGTAAGGGCAGGAGTAGTAACAGACTAGGAGTTAAGCTATGGGGGATGGGGGGGGTCAGGGAGGAACAGCTTGCATCGTCTTTACATATCGTCGTAAGGACTTTGCTTTTACTCTGAGAGGGATGAGAAACCATTGAAGGATTTTGAGCAGAGGCCTAACATTATCTGACTTCAGTTTTAACAGATTACTGTGATTGCTGTGGGGGTGGAAAGTAAAGGGGACAACAGGGAGATCATTCAGAAGGCTGTTGCAGTAATACAGAAGATAGAAAATGATGGCAGCCTTAGTGAGGTCAGATTCTGGATGTATTTTGACAGTAGAGCCAATAAGATTTATTGATGCATTTGATGTGAGTAATGAGAGAAAGAGAGTGTATTAGTTTGCTAGGGTTGCCATAACAAAATACCACAGACTGGGCCGCTTAAACAACAGAAAATTATTTTCTCATAGTTCTGCAGGCTAGAAGTCCAAGATCAAAGTGTCAGGAGATTTGGTTTCTCCAGAGGCCTCTCTCCTTGGCTTGCAGACGTCCACCTTCTCACTGTGTCCTCACATGGCCTTTCCTCTGTGCATGCATACCCCTGGTGTCTCTTCCTCTTCTTATAAGGACACCAGTCGCCTTAGATTAGGGCCCCACTATTATGACCTCATTTAACCTTAATTACTTCTTTAAAGGCCCTATCTCCAAATACAGTCATCCTGAGGGTTAAGTTTTCGACATAGGAATTTGGGAGGGACACAGTTCAGTCCCTAACAAAGAGGAAAGAGGAAAGACAACTGCAAAGTTGAGCAACTGAAAGAATAAAGTTGCCATTTATTAAGATGGGAATCTTCTGACAGGAACAGAGTTTGGTTTTTTGTTCGTTTGGGCATTGGGAGTCATATTGGGACGCGTTAAGTTACAAGTGCCTGTTAGACATCCAAGCAGATATGTAGACTAAGCAGTAAGAATATAAGTCTGTGGCCCAACGGAGAGGTCCAAGCTGGAGAGGTCAATCTAGGTAATATCATGGATGGCATTTAAAATCACGAGACTAGATGGGATTACCAGGGGAATTCAGACAAATGACAAGATAAGAGGTCAAATGGTTGAGCTCCTAACATTTAGTGGCAGAATTAGCAAAGGAGGCTGAGGTAGATTGGCAAAAGAGGAAAACTAGGAGACTAGAAAGTTTGGGAAGCAAATGGAGAAAGTGTTTCAAGGAAGAGCGAGGGATCAATTGTGTCAAATGATGTAATAGGTTACATTAGATGAGTTCTGAGTATTAATAGTTGGATTTACTACTGTGGCCATTAGGTAACTTTGATCAGAGAAATTTTGGTGGAGTGGAGAAAAATAAAGCAAGGAAGAGAGCAAAGAAAAACTGATTAGTTTCAAGAGAGAATGAGAGGAAAGAAATTGAAGATAGCACATAGAGACAACTCTTTCAAGGAGTTTCAAGGAGAGAAATGGGGTGGTAGCTGGAGAAGGAAGTGGGGTTAGGAAAGGGATTTTTTTTGAAGTGGAAGAAAATAACAGCATGTTTGCATGCTGATAGAAATGATCTGAAAGAGTTTCTTCATCTATAAATAATAGAATCTATCTCATAGTGCAGCTAAGAGGATTCAGTATGACCGTGCCTTTCATGGAGTGGGTGCTCAATATGTCCTGAGTGCTGTTGATAGAAATCACAGTCCCTGCCTCCAGACCAAGGAAGAGAAAGACACGTAAATAGCAGCCTGCAGTACAGTGTGATAGCTGCTTCTGGTGGCATACATGAGCTGCTAGGGAACATAGATGGAGAGCCACGGGAGGTGGAGTGCCGTGTTGGGATCCAATTAATATAAGTGGCAAAATAGTGGTCCCAACTTTCCTGCCGCTGGAAGAGGGCTAGAGGGAAGCCTGGCTACTTGAAAGTTAACAGGGGTTGAGTGTTTAATCTCATATGTTATTTTGCTTTTAGTCTGATTTTCCCTGGTGTCCGCTTGGCCTCTGATAGCCAATTCAGCGATTTTCTGGATGGTCTTGGCCCTGCCCAGCTAGTGGGGCGCCAGACTCTGGCTACACCTGCAATGGGTAAGAATTTGTCACGTGATTTCATTGTTTTTCTTTTAGATAATTGAAAATTATGTTCTCTAACTTGCATGGGATCTTTAATAGTATTATCAGCAAGAATGAGTATCTTAGATTTTAACAAGAAAAAATCTTCAACTAATTTTTTTCCATCTTAATTTATGTGCTTTTTGAAGTAAGATATCGCTGATAAAATTTTAAATATATTTGAATTTAGGAAAATATATGGGAAATGATGTAATGATGTTAAACCGAGGTCTTTGGCATAAGCATTTTTTCCACTGCATTTGTATATTAAGACCTGTTTGTTTCTTCCCCACACACCATTAGGTGACATTCAGGTAGGAATGATGGACAAAAAGGGACAGTTGGAGGTGGAAATCATTCGCGCCCGTGGCCTTGTTGTAAAACCAGGTTCCAAGACACTGCCAGGTAAAAACAGAAGAGATTCTACTATTATTGTTCACAATCCACACTTTTCAATTTAGAAACTTTGTTTTTAATTAGATGCTGAAAACTTAGTTTTCAGATAATCAAGAATACTAATAAATGAGTCAATTATCTGTAGTAGTTGTATGTTTACCCTGAGTGAGCATTCAACGACAGAAGTCTGGTGGGGATGATAGAAGTAGTTAAGTACATAATAAGTACATAAATAGTAGAAACCACTGCAAAATAAAAACTGCCACACTTAGAGAATTCATTTTGTACAACATATACATAAGAAGTTCTTTTCCTTATTAGCTGGTGTTTTGTGTTATTCTTCAGTTCATCTGGAGTTTCAAAATTCTCCTTGGGAATCCTTAAAGCTCTGGAATTAGAATAAAAATAGATACAAGCCCCCAAAGTAGCATAAGCCTATGTATGCAGGACATGCTAATTATAAAGACTTTTCCTTCCTGTATTGTATATGGAAAGAGAGGCACTGTTATAAATTTTTATCATGATGTCACATATTTTGTACTGAAATGCCATTATAGTCTAAAGTGCTTGGAGCCATGGAAACTGCCACAAATTCCAGATGCATTGTGCAGAGATGTATAGAACATCTGCTCTGATGTATAGTATAGAACAACTACTGAGGATTCTGAAACTTGGTTTCTACCTTGAGCACCCCCACTGACTGAATTGTAATTTTGAATCTCTTAAGCACTCTATCCTTGCAGAAGTTCTAAATTATAATATATATTGCCTATTGTACAACCTTGCAGTAGTGATTAAGACAATTGTGTTTATAAAGGTCTTGGAGCTAGTCAACCACTCTGTTATAAAGAATATCATAATTTGTATATGCGTTGAGTGCTTTTATGAAGAGTCTGTCAGATAAATTTCAAGCCATGGAATTCATAATTAGTTGCCTTTTCCTAGCTAATTTGAACATATGACATAAAACCCCACTGTGTCTTGTACCCACACCACCACCAATAAACAAACCCTTTAGTGATAAATAAATGATTTGTGGGGATGAGTGAGTAAAACAATATAGTTTCAAGCATGTTTAATTAGATTTAAGTATTGATAAATGAAAACCTGAGTAAGACATCTCTCTTGAATATTTTTAACGACTGGAAGCATTTTACCTTATTTAATGCAGTGTTCAAATCTACATAACCAGTTGATGGCAAAGTAGTGATCAGCTCAAAGGCTATGTCCACATTGCCTAAAACTACCTGAACGGCTGATAGTTCTCTGTTGTTTGTCTAATGGTTTTGACGTTATGTGGAAAGGCCATGATTTGGATTGCTAGCTCTTTCAGCCTAAAACTAAGCTGTTGCAGATGTCACCCCTGAGTTGGGCATTCCCTAACCATCGCTCATCACCTGCCTCTCCTCTGTCTTTTCTTTCCCAAGCACCATATGTAAAGGTGTATCTATTAGATAATGGAGTCTGCATAGCCAAAAAGAAAACAAAAGTGGCAAGAAAAACGCTGGAACCACTTTACCAGCAGCTATTATCTTTCGAAGAGAGTCCCCAAGGAAAGGTTTTACAGGTATTTACTGAATTGTTTATCCCCTACCTGAGAAAGTATTTTCATGGAGTCAAACCTTGTACTCAGCTTCTTTTCTTATCCCATTCTTTTCTGTTCTCCGCCACTGAAGTTCTTACGAAACTTCAAAGCGGTGGCCAGTGCTATAAAGCTATAGACACTGTTGTTTCCTTTGAATTGAGTTATAGACTTGCAAACCCCCATCACATATAAACTCCAATCTCCTTGCACTGCTTATGATCTTAATTAACACTCCAGTACGGTTCTCCTAATGTACCTTTGGAGTCGTAAAGACAACTATCGCAGTAATTAAATACAACTGTTTTGCTTGATGGTTGATGTCAGCACATTAACTGAATGTATTTTAGCTTACAAGTTTTTATGTACCTGATTATACTGACATTACTCTTTTTATTTTGCCAACAGATCATTGTCTGGGGAGATTATGGCCGCATGGATCACAAATCCTTTATGGGAGTGGCCCAGATACTTTTAGATGAACTGGAGCTATCCAATATGGTGATTGGATGGTTCAAACTTTTCCCCCCTTCCTCCCTAGTAGATCCAACCTTGGCTCCTCTGACGAGAAGAGCTTCCCAGTCATCTCTGGAAAGTTCAACCGGACCTTCTTACTCTCGTTCATAGCAGCTGTAAAACTGTTGTCATAGCAACCAGCGTTACAAAAAAAAAAAATCACAGGTCGCAAACCCTGGTAACACTGCATGCTTAATGTTGTGTCTTCTGAGCCTGTTTCTAGGGATACAAAGCGATCCTGTGTTCTCAGAGGAAGTTGCACACATTGTGCCCTCAAGGAGGCCCTCAGGTGAAAGCGCAGAGCTGTGAAGAACTAGCAGGTTTGAAGTTCATTAACACTCGAGTCTGGTCCAATCTGAAGCCATGGATTAATCTCAAAGAGTCAGTCAGTTTCATGCAACAAAAGCCCTTTTCAATGGCACCTTTATATTTTTATTGTTCCTTTTTCTTCGTTTCTCTGACCCCAGAGCCCTGTTATGCCACAGAAATGGAGCTATACAGCCATTAAGCCATGTTACGAGTCAAGGAGTGAAGTCCTAGGAAGCATCAGGTGAAAAGCAAGAGACCAAAGAAGTGGTCCAGGACAAAACCTCAGCCCTGCTCTGGCCGGTGAGCAGGGGCAGCCAGTCCACCGTGAGCAGCGGCGGACTACGGAGCCCCAGCAGGCACGGCATTCACTAATGCCGAGATGTGTTGGACTCTGAAAAACAAAATTCTGTGGCTACACTGTACTGAACGAAATTAAAGAAACTTTTTTTGCATGGACACAGATTAGCTGAATATTTAAATTATTTTCTTGAGGCTGCAACTTGCAAAAAAAAAAAAGAATAAAAATCAGCCATTTTCAACAATTTATATTATTTTTAAAAATAAATTTCACTAGTGCATGGTTTTACAAGGGGGAGAGAATGCAACAGGGTGATACAAAGACGCACCATGTTTATTCTTTAATCATAGTCTGTGTTTTGGCAGACATTACAAGTGAAAATACTTTCTAGAAGATACTTAAAATCTCTTTATGTGACAAATAAGTATAACATTCAAATTATTTCCATGTTAAACATACAAATCTTACGAAGTTCAATATGTGCAAATTGTTCACATCTTTCTTCCTCTTCTCTATCTCACTCTTCCTCCTCTCCCTCTTTTAATCTTTTATTTCTTTCTCCCTCCCAAAGTGAACATTATACTAAAAAATTACGAGTTTTTGACCTGATACTCTCTTATACCCCATGTTTGATTCAGAGCTCTAGATGCTTCTGAATTTATGAATTTCTCAAGGGGAAAAAAATACTATTTATGAGCTTTCTTTATTTCAAGCATGTTGAAAAGGATTTTGCAACATGACTTGGGAGTACGTTAAAGTAAGTCAGCATGTATTTGATAAAGAAGATATTTGAACTTTTGCATTTTATTGTACAGTGCATGGTAATTTTATTTTCACCTTCAAAGTTCAGTTTACAAGAAAATCCTAAAATCATGTGGCCATTGTAATGTCTAATAAATTTGTTTTTAGCACCAGCATTATTCATACAGGGGTTAAAGTATTATTTCTAGAAGGTCTTAGGTTTTGTTTTTTAATTAATTAAAACAGTTTCTTTAGTCAATTTCCATTTACTATGTGAATAGAAACACTGCTAAAAATTTGGAGCCCTGAAACACAGGGATGTTTATTAATTCATTTTTCTGTAGTAAAATTCAATTTTTCACAAATTATATTTCTAAAGAAATATAGTAAACATAAATTTGCAACAAATAATTTTAAAGCTCCAATTTTTAGGTGACTCAAAGAAGGTCAATCTACCTATTAACTGTTCTTCGATGCCATCACCAAAAGTCTACACACAAATCCCCTACAGTCAAACCCCTGCCTTTGGTTTTACAGACAGTTGTTACCATTTGGTGGTGCTGCGAGGTCAAATTTCTCTTAAGTTCCCCTATTTAGAGGAAAAGTCACTGGTTAATGTAATACACCACACATACTTTCTGTTTCTTTATGTACACATTGATAACACATTCTTATAGATTGATTTTAATTTCTTATAATAACTTGTGAAATCCACATACATATCATTCGTTTAAACTAAGGCCATGCAGAGAAGTTGCTTTCTTTTTTTTTTTTCCTTTTAAACTCAGTACTGACCGTTAAAAACTATCATGCCTGCTATGGTGCAAAAGTTAAAATGAGTATCACTAAAAATGCCTTCTCTTTATGTGGTGCAATATGAAATACACCAAGACCCTGTCTTGACGTTCTGAGATCTATGATGGACCCAGGTAAAGTTGTTAAAAGAACGAATAAAACCTTATGGAAATAATTTAGACACTTGTGTACCAGCAACAATTGATTTAATAGACCTATAGTGTCTATACTTAGCCCTTAGAATAAACGTTTACCATTTTCCTGATACTAAGATGCAGTCCTATAATCTTTTGTGCATATTCCTATATAAATTATTTCTAATTTTAATAAGAAGGACATGACTGTATGGAATATTTGTACATACTTGTCATTATGCAGTATTTATTTAAAAGTTGGTGTATTTTTTTTTTATTTTCACATGTCTGCACCTCGACTTGTGGTTTAGTCATGTAAATAGCACTATTCCAGTGACCATTGCTGCCCTGTACATAGTATGTTTTAAAAGTAAAGGGAATTCCAGTTGGAAAAAAAAGGGCAGATTAGTTCTGTAATGAACACCAACTAATGTAAATCAAATTCATTCTGGTGATGGTATTTAACACTTTAAATAAAACATTTTCTTTACAGACGTCGTATGCACAGCTTTCTCTGACTTCTCCCCACACATTGCAAGCCTGCTGCAACTCGTTCCCTGAATGCACACATCATTTAAAGACAAGAAAATAATCTTTTTCTCCCTCTCCATAACAGAAGTGGACTGCTGGTCCTAGCAAATAGCCCTCAGTAGAGCATTTCTTTGAAGTGCCAAAGGATTTCTGCTCACATCATTAAAAGTTACTGCTTTTTAAAAAGGTTGTTATTCTGGATTGAGGTACTTTCTGATTAAATGACTCAGCAGCTTGCAGATTTTACGAGTGAACTAAGTGAGATTTCTGAGTCGGTTGGCCTCCACTGATAGCAGAGTCACAGAGAATCAGGCACAAGCTCTTCCATTCCCTGGCTGAAGATGGCGAGGGCGACAGTTGGCTTTAGGCTACGTTTCCACTGACGTGGCAGTTCAGCTTTGTGGAGGTGGGGGTGCACTTGCAGTTGGGGAGACACATGTAACAACCTCTGCAGAGACTGGCTTCTATCGTGTAAAAGTGAATGGGTGAGAAGGTTTCTCCATATCCTTCTAGCGCAGTTCCTCAAACTTCGAGAAAGAACCCCAGCAGAGTTCCAACAAGAGCCCTCCCCGGCTCTAAATTTAAGAGCTAGTTTGAATTAATTAGAAATCCAAACCTAGTTCTCTCTCCATTCTTGGAAACAGCCATTTCTCCCATTTCCAGGGACTCCATTCCAGCACAGTCCCCCAATACCTATCACATATTATTTTTCATTATTCAGTGTACAGCCTACTCTAGTGAGCTATTTCTCTGCTGTTCACACACTCCTTTTATAAAAATTCCCTTGCCTTTCTTATACACCCTCTCCTGAAAAGCTCTTCTATTTTCTCAGAAATGATCCATGTCAGCCCCTTCCTGCAGCTCCCTGCTCAGGACTGAACTCTGCGTTAGCAGTTCCTGACTAAACCCTAACAACACGGCTGCCCACACCCACACCCTCACTTTCCTGGGAACTCCAGACGCCAAGGCTCCACGAGCAACAGCAAAGGACGTGATGATCACTCTTGTAGGGGCTGTGAGAGAATCGGTCAGGAAATCACCAAAGCTGACTGCCTGTACTGCCTTACCATTCTGTGCACATAAAAATCATGTGCTCTACATGTCTGTCTCCACTCACTCAGCTCACGATGCCCTCAGTGTCCTGCGGGTGGTCATGGACTGAATAAACAGAAGTTCACACACCTACCTGTGATTTGCAAAATACGTATTGGGAAAAAGTATGCAACAGGGAATTAAAAAACAACAATCTGTGCCACTCACATTCTCTGTATGGCTTGACTCAAGTCACTTAATCTCTCTGGCATTCATTTTTTGACCTGAGAAATAAGGGGTTTGAGGCGGATACTCTTCTATCGTTAAATCAACACTTTGGCTAACATGTAGCTCTTTCAAGGAAGGGACCACGTCTATTTTTTTTTCCTTCTTTTGTATCTTCAGTGCCAAGAACAATGCTGAACACACAGATGCTCAATAAATATCTGCCAAATTTTCGTTTTGGCTATTTTTGAGACACTATTCTAGGCATCGTAGTGAATAAAACACACATGACCTTGTCCTCATGGGGCTCTCACTCTACTAAAGAAGACACATATTGGGTAAAAAATTACAAGTTTGATAACTTTCCAAAAGGGAAGCCCCCAGGATGCTGTGGGAGCTTATAGCAAAGTGTTTTAACCCAGTCAAGAGAGTCAAGGAAGGCTGATATCCGAAAATATGGACAGGAGTTAAATAGAAGGAGATGATTGCAATGAGGGGTGGGAGTGAGATGAAGAATATTTCAGGCAGAAAGAACAGCAGTTAAGAAATTTGAGGGAAGGGGACTGTGACTCGACCACTTTTCTTACCTCATAGAGTGTCTAAAGCAATGGTGAGTACGTAAGCAGTGCTTGTTAGTGAATAAATGAATAAACAAGTGAATACAGATTTCTTCAGCCTGGGCTATTTCTGAACCATCAAGAATTTTGTTGAGAAGCTAGTTTTAAACTTGATGTGAGATGTATTTGTAAATGAGATCATTGATAAGGGCTAATCGTCTATATAATTATATTTTAAATGGTTTTCAGAATGCTACTCAATCCTTAATCTCGTTCAACTGTTAGGTCTTTGAACATAGGAACCATGGCCAGTAGTTATTCTGTACCCAGCAAAGCAGCTAGCTCAGAGCTGAGCATATTATAGGTGCCAAATACTCAGCCTTTCAAATATTCTCAGAAAGGTTACTGTCATCAACATGGAATATTCTTGAGTCCTGAAATTTATGTTCATACTTTGTATATGGTTGAGTCAAAAAGACTTTAGACCTGTGGTGTTCTTAATGCCTTTTGAGTACCTGCTTCCTGTCATTTTGCTTTGGGGCAGGGGACCACTTTGTTTAGTATACTTCCTTTTCTGATCCCCATATTGTTCCCAGAGACCTGCCATTTTCTAACTAACTCCATTTTCCTGGTCCCAACTGAATATGATATAGGCAGTGCAGACTCTTAAACTGGGCCAATCTACAGATTGCCTGTGAAGATTTGTTGTTTTGTTTCGTTTTGTTCTGCCTTAATACCAAAGAGGCAGTCCATCGCCAGTGGGAGAAACTATTAGATGAAATAAAAGGTCAGGAGCTGCCAATGAATGTTTTTTCTGATATACGATGGAAGCTGGATTAAGATGAGAGAGAAGAAAATCAACAAAGCCAAGTGGAGGCAAAAATTGAAACGGAGTCCTGCAGAGTTCATGTTCCTGATTCCATTATGACCCAGGATCAGCTGCCTTCTTGCTCTTCCAAGAAAGCCCATATTCTAGCTGTAGTTAGTTGGATCCCTGCTGTTTGAAGTCATGAGTCCTAATTAATACATTTGGGTAAGAAGAAGTCTAATGGAATTATAGAATCTTGAAGGAGTTGTTGAGGTTACTTAGGACAATCACATAGCACTGAGGGAAAACCTAAGAGGCGGCCATCCAATCTCTGCTTGGCAAGTGGCTGGAGAAACAAACTGCATTTCAACCAATTCCATAGTATCTAACAGTTAGACTCGTCTTCCTAACACTTAGCCTAAATCTCTCTTCTAGAATTTTACACTTCCTGGGACTAGCACTACCTTCTAGAACTATATAACAAAGAGCTGATCCCTCTTCTACATGATAGTTCTTCAAATATTTTAAGTTAGCTATCTTACTTTCCCCAACTCTTACAAAGCAGCATAGCAAGTTGGATAAAAGTACCTGTTCTAGATAAGAATGCCTGAGTTCAAATATACGCTCCCTCATTTCCCAGCTATATAACCGTGAGTGAGCAATTTATCCTCTCTCAGTCTGCTTTATCATCTATAAAATGGAGAAGCAGGGATAACAATAGTAGCTACCTCACACAGCTGTGGAGAGGATTAAATGAAGTAACATAGATCAAGGACAATACTAGACAAAAGTACCCAATAAGTATTTGCTATTGCTGTGGTGGTGGTATTGCAATTATTACTACCACTATTTATTCTTCTCTTTCCAGGTACTTCTAATGCCTTCAACCCTTTGTCACGTACTAGAAACCTGGTCATCTTGCTTCTCCTCTATATATCCTCCCTAGAATTAAGCAAATGACTCCAGATGACTACTGGCCCAACAAGAGTACTATGCTATGGACTCGACTTCTATAAACACAACCTATAATTCTGTTGCCTTCTTCTGTAGCCACCTCATGTAGCTCTTTCAGACCGGGCTGGAGGTTGACCAAATCTCCCAGAACCTCCCTCACACGAACGGCTTCCTCATTCTGTCCTTGTGGAATTTTGTTTTTAGCCAAACACAGATATAAAATTTTATCCTTGCTAAATTTTTTTCTTGTTGGTTTTGTCCAATATTCCAGCCCGCCAAAATCGTTACGACTGTCCTAGCTCTAGCATAAACCGAGTTATTAAGACTCATCAAACATAGTAGCTTTCACTGCCAGCTCTGTATCACCTGCAAATCTAATAAAAGTGTTTCTTCTATCTTCATCCATGTCTTTGATAAAATGTTGAGGAAAATAGGGTCAAGATCAAAGCTTTGGGGGCCGGCCCAGTGGCGCAAGAGGTTAAGTGCGCGCACTCCACTGTGGCGGCCCGGGGTTCGCCAGTTCGGATCCCGGGCGCGCACCGACGCACTGCTTGGCAAGCCATGCTGTGGCGGCCTCCCATGTAAAGTGGAGGAAGGTGGGCACGGATGTTAGCCCAGGGCCAGTCTTCCTCAGCAAAAAAAGAGGAGGATTGGCAGATGTTAGCACAGGGCTGATCTTCCCCACAAAAAAAAATAAAAAAAGATCAAAGCTTTGTAACTCTCTACTGGTAATATTAATTGGTATCAATAGTAGTTAAGTCACGTAATACATTATAATTTACAAAATGACTTTAATATACGTGATTTAACTTAATCCTTATGACTACCTTATGAGGTAAGTAGTAGTATTCCCTTTATTTTACAGATAACTGTAGTTTAGAGAGTTTAAATAATGGGAACAAGGTCCCTCATCTGATAAGTGGCATATCCACGTGCAAACCTGAGTCCTCTGACAACAAATTGGGTTGTTCAATCAATCATGAAACCACTTCATCTTATCCTCAACTGCCATACATTTCCCCACTTTATCCTCAGGGAATTCATTAGGGCCTTTCTCAGATGACTTGCTAAAATATAGATTTACTACCTTTACTATATTTTCCTCCTACTGCAATCTAGGTGCTAGCAAAGCATGAGGGTGGGGATGGGGGTGAGATGGGGAAGGAAAAAGAGGTTGCTGGTTATAATACCTACCTTTCTGAGTTATTATTGGGATTTGATCAGAAAATGGATACGGTCTTGGCATAAAATGGATAATGACACTAATGGCAGTTCTTTTTCTTATCCTGGGCATCAGCTCTTGTTCTTTAGTTTAGTTTGTTTGTTTTACCATTTCCAGTTGAAGCCTCTTGCAGCTGCAGACAAGAGAAGCAAGAGGGAATT